TTTTCAACCGGCGATTTGAAACCAAACATTAGAAGCCTCCTGCACGTGTTTCACATGAAAAAGAAGCGTATATTTTCCTCTATCTACTGAGCCTTGCCATATTTCTTTTGGCCGTTTTTAAGAATCGAATGTACACCTAAAAACTATCGGCCCTCGCTTTTGTTGATATAAAATATGATTTTGTTTGACAGGCCGTAATAACACTTTGTGTTTGTCAAAAGCGGTTATTTTTGGTATAAAAATAAAGCACACGATTTCAACTTCAAATTTTTTAGCCATCTTGGCCAAACAGTGCACGTGTCCAGGTTTTTGTTGTTGTTGTACATCTCGTAAAACCTCGCGTACGCTTTTGGGCCATGCGTGCGTGACCTCGGGGCAAGAAACTGAGGTTAAACAGGGCTGTGTGCGTGACTGCATCGTTTTTCATGTAAATTCTTTACGAAAAAAAATGCGACGATTAAGGACTTTTCTAAACAAGGGAAAGGTTTGAGACTAGTTTCGCCTCCATAAAAAGTATTATTTGCAATTTTTACACGGTGACACGGTAGGGGCTAGTCGCTGTTATGGTTTAAATTTGGTCAAGGCGCTCATGTCTACCCGGACGCTCGTACGTGCTAGCCTTTCAGTTTGACGTGCCAGCATACGTGCGTCACGTGTCCAGGTAAGTGCGTGGGACTTGACTAAAGGCTATGGTTTATACGCGATAACCCGCGATAGTCCGGGGGTGGCATGGCCTCCGTTGCCCCCCCCCCCCCATCCGCCCTTAAGCATAAGTGGTATTTATTTCAAAACTTATCGCGATAGAATTGCATCAATCATAGCAGCTTGTGTAATTATTGTCTAATTACATGATATACAATGGATGCGAAGCGCGCAAAATCCGACACAAACATAACTCTAGTGCACAGTTTCATAGGGTTGTCTCAGGGGCCAGGGGCGTTGCTAACTCGCAAACGGCGATAGTTCGCAAAACGTTTAATACATGTATGTATTTCGTTTTTTTTAATTTTGTTTTTTTACTTGGCATGATCGGGCTTCCGTAAGATGCTATGGTGACGTGATAAACAATAGTCTGGTTCCCTGTGCCGCCGGCGTAGCGTGTCTGACTCCACGAAATAAAGATTATGGTAGTGTTGTGCCCATTCTTGAAAATCACGCAATCTTAAGAATGTGCGCGCATTCTTAAGAATGAGCGCACATTCTTAAGAATGAGCACGCGTTCTGAAGAATGAGCGCTCATTCTTAAGATTGCGTGAAAATATTACGTGCACAATATTTATGACTTTTGCGCAATCTTAACAAACATTGCACGACATAATTATGTTAAATGAAATGTATAGCGGTTAAAAGGGAAACAATTCATATAAAGAGGAAAGAAAATGTTCTATGCTTCTGTACTCGTATAACTACGATAATTTGAATCACATTAAACCTGTTATTATTGCTTTTTTCTGCTTACTATGGGAAGTTTTGTAATAACGGAGGACTGGGAACTAGTCTGGGGACTCTTTGGGGAGTGCTTTATTTAGGCAAGACAAGTTACAAGTCCCTGTATGTATCATATGCATGCCACAAAAAAAAACGATGTCCAGAAGTTCTTTTGACTAGATAGAATCCAGCTCTGCGGCGTAATGGTGGGGGTGTGAACAATAAATTGGTGGCAATTTAAATGGGAAATAGCATTAGCACTATGGGATGTCACAGTATTCATTCTCATTCTTCACATTCTTCATTCTTACGTCCCCCCCCCCCCCCCCCCCCCACTTTTAAGTCGGTCTCTGGTCAGCGCGCACGTCGATTTTACTCATGCGCATCGATCTTTTTTTCCCAAAATGTTCTGCGGTAGCTCCAACAGCGCCCTCTATTTCCGCATCTCCTCATTTTTTTTTTACCAAAGAGCACCAAGGAATGGGAAATTGCACCAAGGCAAATGATCGAAAGCACCAAGGCAAATTATGGAGGACACCAATGTACATGCCATAGAGGAAATAGTACCCCACCTTGTCTGTACAATCCAAGCTTGAAGAAAAAAAAAAAAGCCGCGTGGCCGCGTCAATTCCGGAACTTTGGTCTGACCAGAGTCCGAATATTTTTTTTTTGGCCTTATGTCGTTTATTTTTTTTCCCCGGTTCCCCCCCCCCCCCCAATACGCGTATACTTTTCATATCCACTCTACTTTTCAGCGCCTTGCATTGCAACAGTATAATTATTAAGAATCAGTGAACGAGGATGCAGCTAGACTTGCCAAGCAGGCAGTGGCGTAGCCAGGAATTTTTCAGTGGGGGGGGGGGGGGGGGGGGGGGGGGGCTGGAACATTTCATGGGGGGCGTCAAGCAGGGGCGTCAATCGCTTGTCAAAAGTGGGGGGGGGACATACCTTGATCATAACTGATGCAAGCGTGAAGCGCAAAGCCCTTACGGCGTGGGGTTCGGGGCCCGCTTAAAAGGGCCCCGAAAAAAATTGGATTCTAGATGTTCTGTGGTGTGATTTGAAGCAATTTTTTACGACTTTCCTCCATGCTTTAACTAATATTTTCTTGGCAAAAGATAATTATTTGAACATCGTTTTCGAGGTTGGAGACATGGAATTAGCTATCGGCAGTGGCGTACGCAGGATTTTTTTCAAGGGGGTGTTTCAAAATTGGATGTCATCATTTATGACGCTAGAAATGAAGATGGTAAATATTGTGTTGGCGCCAGAAATAAAAGATAGTATCAGTGGGCTAAACTTAATGCTAAAATAAAAGTCGGGAGTTTGTGTTGGCGCCAAACATAGTAAATCGAGAAAAAAAAACAACATGTTCTGTGTCTTTAGAGTATATGATGAACATGAGTAAAGGGGTCAATGTGGGCAGTCCCCTCCCTCAACAGCATTACAAAAATAATCATAATAATTCAAGAAAAGTGACACGGGCTGCGGAAGTGCTAGGATCTGTTCTTGTAATTGGCTAAAATTACTCAGCTTCGTCCCTGGATCTCATGATTCTCATCCGTTGGGAATCTAATTCTTTGTGTAAGCCGCCCCCACCCCTAAGGCCAAACTCCAGATACAGGATACAAATGCGCTCTGGTCACAGGGGCGGATTCAGACTGCCATTTGCCCGGGGGGGGGGGGCCTAGAATTGTAATGAAGGGTCCAGGACCTGCGAGCGCGCAGCGCGAAGCCCCTACGGCGTGGGGTCCGGGGCCCGCTTTAGGGCCCCGTGAAAATTTCGGATCGTAGATGCTCTGTGGTGCAATCTGAGGCGATTCCTGGCTACTTCCACCGTTTAGAAAAAGTTTTAAACATCGAAAATTCCATTTAAATTTGTTATTTTTTTTTGTTCTTTATAAAGTTTGTTATGTACTCAAAGTTGAGAACCATGTTCCATCTCCGTATTTTTTTCACAATTTTCTATTTTGGAAAGGGATTTAGGCCACTTGTAGTCCGAGCCTCAGCCATTCGCTGCTGAAGGTACAAATAAGGTGGGGGCACCGCTAGGGTGAAATTAGCATAGAGGGAATTTGGCCGGAGGACTAATACGAGCGCGGAGCGCGAAGCACTTACGGCGTGGGGTCCGGGGCCCGCTTAACCCTAAAGGGGCCGGGTAATTTTGACCATCTCTCAGCCGGGGGGGGGGGGGCGGATTCCGCCCCCCCTAAGATCTCGGCCATCGAGAGACGAACAATTTTGAAACTCGGCACATGCATAGAGCAACTCTTCCTAAACATACCCAAGAAATTTCATGACTATAGGTCAAAGGGTTTTGGAATTATGGCTAATTAATTATTCATATGTACGAATGGCAATTTTGCTCTGTGTACACGACGTATATGCGAAAATTCAGTTTTCACGGCGCGTAGCGCCGGAAAATTTTCGTTACGCGGCAACCCGTGGTCCGATTTTTATGTTTTTGGTATCAAAAGATGCTCAAAGCTCGAGGCTAAAAAGTCATAACAGCTCGGGTCGCGAAATATTTTTTTTAGAGGCTATCACGGAAAATGTTGAGGGGGGGGGGCGGATTCCGCCCTCCCCCCGGCCCCTTTAGGGTTAAGGGCCCCGGGAAATTTCGGATCGTAGATACTCTGTGGTGCAATCTGAGGCGTTTCCTGGCCACTTGCCCCTGATTTTTTTAGCAGAAGTTGTTAAAATTGAGGGGATATTTTGTTTCATTTGTTTCAAATACATATAGGCCTATATACTCTTGCTCTTATAAAGTGTCTTCTGTATTCAAAGCTTAAAGTTGAGAACATGCACATAATTTGTAATTGTTCCGCGCTCGGTCACATAACTCTCTTTTCCCTCCATATTTTTACATGGCAAAGGGGGGTGTTTAACAGCCAAAACACCCCCCCCCCCCCTGCGTACGCGCCTGGCTATTGGTATTCTGAGCTATTGGCGTCGATTTTCGATGCTCTGTGGTGTGATCTGAGGCAATTTCTTACCACTTTAACCAATCATTATCTTACCACAAAAGATAATAATTTTAAACATAATTTTTGAGGTTTTCTCAGCTAAAGGCATAAGAAAACATTGTTTTCGAGGTTGGAGTCATTGAATCAGCTACCAGAATTCTGAGCTATGGGCGTGGGGTTCGGGGCCCGCTTAAGGGCCCCGAAAAATGTTGGATTTTAAATGCTCTGTGGTGCTATCTGAGGCAATTTCTGACCACTTTAACCAATATTTTCTAAGCAAAAGATACATTGTAGTACATAATAGGGCCCATGGCGTCATGTAGATCAATGATATTTTTTTTAGAAACTCAAAATCTCAGTGGGGGGCGACTGGGGGGGCGACAAGGTTTCATGGGGGGGCGGTCGCCCCCCCACCCCCCCCCCCCCGGTGGCTACGCCACTGCAAGCAGGTACTCGGTATCGACAAGACCGTTATCTTGTCGCGCATTCTTAAGAATGTGCGCTCAATCTGGAAGAGTTATTTTTTTGCGAAGATTGTGCAAGGATCCAGTTGCACAATCATAAGAATGTGCAAGCGCATTCTTAAGAATGCGTTATTGTCAAGAAAGCGCACAACAGTAGTATCGCCCTCGCGCGAAGTGTACTGACATTCCATGCACGTAGCAAGAGGGAAGAAAGTGCTGTTTACTAGGCCTAGGCAGACCACACTACAAAATAACCGAAGTAAGTCAAAATTCACAAAATTAAACGAGAATTTTTAAGTTTAATTTTGAATTTGAGAAAGATTCTATGTATAGTCGGACTCCCTATTATCGCGGCATCCCTATTAATTATCGCGGCATGGTAAATTTCTCTTTTTGCGTTGCCAAAACTCCTTCAAGACAAGTTCAAGTGGCAATTTTTTTCCAGTTCACAATGATTAAGGACTTTTTGCCAAGTTGTATAAAAAGGACGATTAAAAATGTTTGTGTCTTTCGGGACTTTTAACGATTTTTAATGAATAATAACGTTTTCAACTTGCAAATTTTCCCTCACCGTGTCTGCTAAAATAGGTACCGTCTGTATTTTTCTTTAACTTTAAGGTAGTGGATATTTTGCCGGAGGTAACGCCGGCAAACTAACGTTTACTAAAGGTTTGCCGGCGGCAATCCATATTAACAGAGGGCGCTGTACTCTTTAAGATAGGGCTGAATTATAATATGTATTAAATTCCCACCAAACTTGTGTATTATCGGTGCAATGGATAAGCAATTGCTCTAGTGAGTGGGATGTCCCGAGTTCGAATCCTGATCCTCACCACATTTTTAAGTTTTTTTTTTCCATCCCCAAATAAATAAGAATATTCTTCTATTATTATTTTAACATGTCTCAAACATTTTATTGCAGAGTAATCAGAGTATTACATTTTCTTTTTCAGATTTGTGGCTCTGGAGGATTTTTTTAAAAAGGGAAATAAAGTCCGAAATTATAAAATGGTCTGAATCCCATCTTGTGATTAATACGAGGTTACAATGATAACATTGGCATGGAACCAGACTAAAATTTGTCACCAGAAAATGTTTTTTAAGTACAAAAAAACAGTAACTGCGCATGTTCAGTGCATATCCGGCAAACTAACGTTTACTGAAGGTTTGCCGTCTCCGGCAAAATATCCACTGCCATTCTTTAATGGTGCTCTGTCCATGAAAGTTCCATTGCCTGGTTCCCATTCATCAGCTGCAAATGTAAAATGAAGTCGAAGGACGATATTTGCACCGCGAAATCGTAAAAACTTTTACGGGATCAAAATAAGCACAGCACGTTAACAAAAATAAAACGGCACACCGTGTAAAGTGTATGGCGCCCCCAATCGCCAATCAGTAGACTTGCCTAAGTGAGTTGTGTTCTCCTTTCGGGGGAAGGGCAGGGTCTTAGAAATCATCCTGCAGATTAATAGTCTTTAATCAACTTGAACTTAAAGGGAAAATATCAGACCTTATTCAGGGGGTGTTTTGGTCAAACATTAACCATGAATAAAAAAGTTGAGATCATTATAAAAACCACTTCCCGCATACCGCGATAATAGGGAGTCCACTTCCGTTCGCACACTCCGAGCATGTCTATTTTCACAGGCATCGAACACGGAATAAACCACACCACCGTCGGAATTTTTTATATCAATTTGAAAAGGAAGAGTTATACTACACAAAAGACAGGACAATTCGGGAAGGTTAGTGGGGAATCTCTATTCCGAACGAGAAACGTGATAAGTACCGCGATAATATGGCAACCCATCCTACTAACTAGTGCAAACAATCGCATTCGGTTGTACTTGTCTGTACAACAGTAGTGACAGTACATTATACTAAATTATAGGCCTAGTTGAGGTAAAATTTGTTTGGGTTAGCGTAGCTTGAGTAACTCCAGCTGACATGTTCCATATTCATTCATGTGAATGAAAATGGAACATGTCAGCTGGAGTTACTCAAGCTAGGGTTAGCGCTAGACCTAGCTCTACTGAGTGGAGCCTTGAACTACGGTACCCTCCGTACAAATGCTCCACTGATTTGGCATACTTTGGTGACAGCTTCACAGTAGCATATGATAGTGTACATACCCACGCGAGGACAAAAAGACCCCCCAAAAACGGTAAAGAGAATACAAATGAGAGAGGCAGTTACCCTGGATTTATCTACACATTCATGACATTCCATCAGACCCCTTTTAATTATATTGTTCCCAAACAGCGAAAATTTTGAAGAAAATAAACCAGCAAAATAGTCAGAAAAAACTCACAGCTCAATGCATGTGTTTGCTGTGAAGCTCAGACCTTGCACCGACTTGCTGAATGAGGGCGTCTGACGTGACATCACCGTCGTTGTACGATCGAAGAAAAAAAAGTTGCGCTTAATCAACGACTGTTTCATGTAGTCATATGTGTCCCGCGCCAAAAGCCCACACTGTCAGATGGCGCGGGGCACATATGATTACATGAAACAGTCTTTGAGTAAGCGCAACTTGTTTTCTTCAATGGTGACTTCACACACGCGCGCGATGAATTATGCATCAGTCCAGACTATTTTTTATTTTTTTTTTAAATTACCGGTTGTTTGGAACAATTTAAGGGGTCTAATGGAATGTCATGAATGTGTGGATCTACATGTATCCAGGGTTACTGTCTTTCTCATTTGTATTCTCTTAATCAGTTTTTTGGGGGTCTTTTGTCCTCGCGAGGGCATGTACACTATAATGCTACTGTGAAGCCGTCACCAAAGTATGCCAAATCGGTGGAGCGTTTGTACGGAGGGTACCGTAGTTCAACGCTCCACTCAGTAGAGCTACGCTAGACCTAGCTTGAGTAACTCCAGCTGACATGCTCCATATTCATTTTACATGTGAATGAATATGGAGCATGTCAGCTGGAGTTACTCAAGCTATGCTAGACCCGTGAACGTGGCGTTGTATATAGCCACGTTCACGGGTCTAGGTCATGTAGGTTAGCGCATGGAGGAAGGAATTTAGCGTGCCTAAATGAATGATGTGCAAACCCGACCTGACCCTAAACCGACCTCGGGTCGAGTTGGGTCGGTTTGTCCATCTTTTCAGTCGGGTTGGGTCGGTTTCGGTTTTGCTTTTACATTTTCAGGTCGGGTCGGGCCGGGTCGGTTCAGCCATCTTTAAAAAAAAAACGAGATAAACTGAAATAAACCGAAATAAAACTAAACGGTTGAAAAATTCAGGCTAGCAATATTATTGACACTACAGTCATTGTGACGGCAGCCCATTGTGTGGTGTGGCCACCGAGCGCACTATCAAGTTCCCACGGTATTAATTTCTCCAGTCGGATGGGACTGACAGTGAAATAGATAGATTGTAACAGTTTTCATGATACCACGTAGTGACCATGCGTTTGTTTAATAAGCGGAGTTAGCCCTACTCTTGTTAACCCACTGAGTATGAGAGAGAGACGATGGTTTTGCAAAAGAATTCATGCCACGTGGATAGCTCCATGGTAAGGGCAGGCACAAAAAAGTGATCACTTTGTCCAATTCGTTTTTTTCCTTTTTTTTTTTTTTCGGGTCGGGTCGGTTCGGGTCGGTTTTACCTTATTTTTTGTCGGGTCGGGTCGGGTTGGTTTATATCTCAAATAATGTTTCGGGTCGGTTTGGCCTGGTCGACCCGACCCGATGCACATCATTAGCCTAAATTAAAGTTTGTTGTGTACGAACGACAACGGATTGTGCTCGGGGGATACTATATATTTTACGCAGTGTCAGCATTTTAGTCAATTAGACAACGTGCGCTTAAAAAATAATACGAATAGATTAGGGGAGCCTTAGCTCTCTCTTGAAATGACCAGTGTTAGATGTATTTTATCAACCAATGAAACAATGTGGAGGGGGAGATTGTGTGCACCCGCTTGGTATTGGGCAAATGATTCAGGTCCCATTTTCTTCCATTTAAAAAAAAATAAATTTGGCATTCTAGAAGTAGGTAAAAGAAGGAATGCTTTATCGTGAACGCAGGCAGTTATGGTTATTTAATTTGTTTATTTATTAATTTTTTTTATTCTTTTCCCACGTCCACACAATGTTTTCCCATTTCTGGAAAACAGGTTTAGAGGCATTTTGGGGTTAGGTTTATCCGTGGCAGAATGAAGAGAAACACTGAAGGGAATCATAGAAAAAAATTGGGTTGAAAGAGTTTTCACAGTTTGAGAAAATGATTTTTGTCACTGTTTTTTTCTTAACTACACGAAAGCAATGGAAAGTCCTCACAAGGTATGTAACGTAAACCTGTGTGGGGTGGGTGTGTGTGTGTGTCTGGACAAATCTTTCAGCCCGAAAACTTAAGAAATACTTAACATATGAACTTCAAATTTGGTTTGTGGATTGTTCTTGGTAATCCTAAGAAGCCTATTGCATTTGGTGCTGAAAGGTCAAGGGTCAAGGTCACAGTGGCTAAAGCAATAGAAATCTTGTCGGCGCGATAACTTGAGAAACACTTTACATGTGAACTTCACATTTGGTTTGTGGATTGTTCTTGGTAATCTTAAGAAGCCTAATGCATTTGGGGCCGAAAGGTCAAGGGTCAAGGTCACATTTGCTAAAACAAAAGAATTTTTCAGCGCGATAACTTGAGAAATACTTAACATGTGAACTTCAAATTTGGATTGTGGATTGTTCTTGGTAATCCTAAGAAGGCTATTGCATATGGGGCTGAAAGGTCAAGGGTCAAGGTCACAGTGGCTAAAACAAAAGAAATCTTGTATTTATTCTGAGATAATAGGGATTATAGTTCATACATTGTATAAAACCTACAGAAAACACTAATGATGTCAATGAACGTTCCATGTGAGCCAATTACATACATGTAAAGTTGATGTTAAAGAGTGGTGTTATGTCATGGAACAGTCACGGTGGTGGGGTGTTTGTGTTTGTAAACACACCTGACTTGTTTTTCTTCAGAGACAGCCTCTCTGAACAGTCCATTGATCATGTCTGCCAGGTTTGTATCCTTTTGCTTTGCCACATTGTTCCTTACTAGTGAACTTGTTGGCCATGTCCTTGAACATACTTGCAGGCTTGTCATTCTTCCTTGCTTTTTTCGGCTTCTCAGACGTGTTTGCATGTGAAGCTGCCTTGCTTGTGCTTGGCTTGTCAGGGTCATGCCCTGGCATGTTCAGCTTACGGAGCAGAACCAGTTCCTTGTGATTCTTCAACCACATGCTCCCCACCTTCGTC